TCCCTCATCTGGAGGGCCTTTATTTTAGAGACATAGCTTAGGCGATAGAAATCAACATGTTAGTGCTCTAAATACATGAACTATAATGCTAGCCAGCAACGATGATTTCACACCTGCATTCATAGTAATATTAGAAGGACTTCTAGTCCCATAATAATTCTCAAAATTTTCTTCTTGTATCAAGTACATTTACTACGACTCATACTAATAGTATACTTCTAGGCCTGATTGAACTTACCATGTCTGCGTTAGAGTTCAATACTAGAGCTACAAGAGTCAAAGTATTAAATCTTAACTACTATGAAATAAAGAAAAACTTCCATTCAAAGTAAATCCATTTGTGGGGGCCATCAGGCAAGAAAAAAGAAATAACAGGCATCCAGACTGGAAAGGAAGAAGTAACTTACCTTGATTTGCAATGACATGATGTTGCATATAGACATACCATAGGAAATTTAAAAAAAATACTAGAAATAATAAATTCACCAAGGTTGCAAGATACAAAATCAATATACAAAAATCAATTGTATTTCTATACACTAGCAATGAACAAATCAAAATAAAATTAAAAAAAAATTCCATTCACCATAGCATAAAAAATAATACTTAGAAATAAAAGATGGCAATATTTTCCAAACTGACCTACAGATTCAGTGCAATCCCTACCCAAATCCCAGCTGCTTTTTTCACAGAAATTGACAAGCTGATCCTCAAATTCATGTGGAAATGCAAGGGACCCATCAGGGTAAAAACAATGAAGAAAAGGAAAAGCAAAGTAGAAGGATTCACATTTCTTGATTTCAAAGCTTACTACAGAGTTACAGTAATTAAGACAGTGTGGTATTGGCATAGGAATAGATATATAGATCAATGGAATAGAATTGAGACCAGAAAAACAACTCTTACATGCATGGTCTGTTCAATGGAGGAAAAAATAGTCATTTCAAAAAATGGTTCTGGGACAACTGGATACTCCTCATGCAAAAAAAGAAAAAAAAAAGGTGGACCCATCCCCTCACACCTTATATGAAAAATTAGATCAAAATAGATTATAGAACTAAACTTAAAAGCTAAAGTTATAAAACTCTTAGAAGAAAACATAGGAATAAATCTTTGTGCCCTTGGATTAGGCAATTGTTTCTCAGCTACAATGCCAAGTGCACAAGCAACATAAGAAAAAGAGATAATCTGGACTTTATCAAAATTAAAACTTTTGTGCTTCAAAGGACATCATAAAGAAATGCATAGAAAACCCACAGAATAAAAGAAAATATCTGCACATCATATATCTGATAAGGGACTTTTATCTAAAATAAATATAAAGAACTCCTACAACTGTACAATAAAAAGACAACCCAATTTAAAAATAGGCACAGGATTTGAATATGCATTTCTCCAAAAGAGATATGCAAATGGCTAATGAGCACATGAGAAGATGCTTAACATCATTAGTCACGAGGGAACTGCACATCAAAATCACAGTGAGATACCACTGCACACCCACTAGAAAGGCCTTAATGTAAAAAGTAGACAAGAAGCATTGATTAGGACATGGAGACACTGGAACCCTCACACACTCCTAGTTGAAATGTAAAATGGTGCAGTCACTTTGGAGAAAGTTCAGCATTTCCTCAAAAGTTAGACACAGAATTCCATACGACTTAGAAATTCTACGCCTATATTCTACTCAATATACTCAAGAATATTGAAAACATATACCCATGTGAAAACTTGCACACAAATGATCATAACAGCATCATTCATAACTGCCAAAAAGTAGACACAACCCAGATGTCCATCAACTGATAAATGAATAAACAAACATGACATATCCATACCATGGGTTCAGGTATAAAAAGGAATGAAGTGCTGCAACATGAATGAACCTTGAAAACAGTATGCTAAATGAAAGAGGTCAGACACAAAAGGCCACATATTATACGATCCCATTTATACGAAATGTCCAGAACAGGCGAATACATAGAGACAAAAAACAAATTAGTTGTTACCAAGAGTTTGGGAGGAGGAGTAATTGGGAGTAACTGCTACTGGGTATAGGGCTTCTTTTGGGATGATGAAAATGATCTAAAATTAGATAGTGGTGATGTCTGCACAAATCTGTGAATATACTAAAAACCAGTGAATTGTACACTTTAATAGGATGAGTTCTATGTTGTGTGAATTCAATCTCAATAAAGTAGTTATTTTTAAAAAGTCATGCTATGGGTCTCTGGGATCTGGGGAAAAATCCCTTTGTGAGTTAGTAAGCATACAGCACCCTATCTTATTTATAGATAATTTTCATAGATTCTTAGCTGCAAATACCAAGTGGAGAAAATGCTGGTGTCTAAAAGGTGCTTATGGAAGAACACTCCATTCTCATTGAAAATTTGCTTTGAAATGAGGCAGACTGCCTTATGGCTTCAATTATTTTATGTCCTATTAAACTAAGATGATCACATTAATAAATGTGAGCCATAGATGGTAACGATCATATGGCTTGTCAGAGATACAACTTTTTTTTTTTTTTTTTTTTTTTTTGAGACAGGGTCTTGCCTGTCATCCAGGCTAGAGTGCAGTGGTGTGATCATGGCTCAGTGCAGCCTTGAACTTCTGGGCTCAAAAATTCCTCTCACCTCAGCCTTCCAAGTAGCTGGGACTATAGGTGCACACCACTATGCCCAGCTAATTTCCTTTCTTTCTTTTTATTTTTTTGTAGAGAAGAAGTATCACTTTGTTGCCCAGGCTGGTCTCCAACTTGGGCTCCAGCGATCCTCCTGCCTTAGCTGCCCGAAGTGCTGGGATTACAGGTGTGAGCCACCACACTTGGCTGAGATACAACATTTTATTTGTCTGAGTTTTGATACTGAGGAAAACTTCTCTGCACATATGGGAAACAAGGCTTTTATACCTTTATCCCCTCATCACAGATAAAGTTCCTTCCCCTTCTTCATCCCTTTGAAATGATTGCTCTGAGTCAGTCTCCTTAACTGTAAAATGGAATGATAATTTCTTATAGTGTTCCTGTGAGGAAGAAGAGATATACCAGGCTTGTACTTTGTAATCTACAGTGAGTAGTTATAGAAAACGTCTCCTGAAATAATCCAAATGGTTTCTGGGAACTGTCTTATCAGAAAAGCCTCTTAAATGAAGATAACAGGTGAGAGTAAGTCCCTGGCTCTTCCTCCAAGCTTTGGTGTCTTTCTTCCTTTTATTATTTCCTGGTATTGTCAGAGAGAACTATTTTTTAGGTAGTGCACTGTGTTGAGTAAATCAAGTTCATTTGTGCCTGAAGTTTCCAAGCTTATCTTTGTGCATTGGTTCTACTTCTACAGAAAAAATAAGAAGTTTGAAAATCATTAACTTTTGGATATACTGGATGACAGACTCTAACAGAAGGTAAGTGACCAAGAAATTAGAGGGGTAACTAAGTGAAATGCTTCTCAAAGACTGGCTTTGTTTCTGTTTTTGGCAGCCCAATATTGGCTGCTGTCAAGTGAAGCAGTACTATAGAATAAATCCATAGGCTAGTATACTAGCTACATTCAAATTCATTAGCACAACCAAAGGAAAAAAAATACAATTAGTTAGAGCAAGAATGTTTGCTTGTTTTAAGAAAAGTTTTCAACAGTGAAAAACATGGAAAAAATTACTGACAACTTTCATCCTAAATCACCATAAAGCAAATACATTTTCACTAGATTAAGTGATTTACTATTTTCTCATACACACACACACAAACACACACACACACACACACACATACAAACACACGTGCACACATGCATGTGACAGAAAAAGAGGAACACATTTCAGTTCTATCTTTAGATGTTTCTTGAGAGAGGCTATCAGTTTTACAAGACTTAACCCAAGTTTATGCGGCAGGGTGGATATAGTAATATATCCCATATAGCAATCTAACCCATGTTTATGCTGCAGAGCAGGCTGGAAATAGTTCTAGAGTCAGAATCTAGGTTCAAGTTGTCCCTCCTCAATTAACTAGCTCTTGTCCTTGAAAAAACTGCATAACTATGCTAAAGTTTCATAAGTTTCCTCATTTGAAAATGATGTGCAAATAATGGCAGTCCTTATCTCGCAGGGTTGCTGTGAGGAGTAAGTGAAATACTTCATGGAAAAGGGCTTGGTACATTGACTGGCACATGATAAATGTTCACAAAATATTAGCTACTTCTATTTTGCTGATGATAATTATGAATATATCTACTACCTGCGCCAGCTAACAATTAAGCCACTCTAACTCGCTTAGAACATAATTGAACCAAAGCTTTACAATGCAACACCCACAGAATATTTAGGACATAAAACATAAAGAAAATCTTCAATGTTTAAACAAATGGAATATACACGTCATGTATTCTGCATGGCCTCATTTGTTCTCTAGTTTCTAAGTGTAGCTTATAGGGGAATTGAAGGAAGAAAAGTACCAATACCAGAAGGAAAAAATCAATTTGATGGATATGAATATAGCCACCAAACTAGCCAAGGGATTTATTCGATGACACTGCTTTACTGTTAACCTTCACTCATATCATTTATTATTTGGGGAACTGCTGCAGAGAGACCAGAAAGTGAACAGAATAATGATGTTTTTACAGCTCCTAATGTAGATTGTTATTGAAAATCTGTCAATTTTACTGGCAAGCTTTTGGCTCAAAAATCAGATCGTCATTTATAATTTGCAGGCAGTGATAACTAAAAATTATGGGAAGTAACTAGGAAATAAAAAAATAACTGTTAAGATGAAAATTACATAATTATCTTTCTCATTAAAAACATGAGGTTTTCTATTATCCTCGGGATGTGCAGTGGACTCTTTAACAGCTGCTGTTACTGAACTAAAACACATCAGAATAGGAAAGAAAATACATTACTGATCACTCAAATGATGAAAAATAGATACTGCTAAGAACGTGTGTGGAACAGAACGGAACACAGCAGGACATATTGCCGGTATCTATAAACCACATGGAACCACTTACAGACGCTTCAGGGATTGAGCTCAGCCTTTCCCCTGAGATTTCTTTCAGGGAGATTTTATTTAGCGAAGCTGGCACTTGCTGGGCTGGTAGGTCCTTCGCTTTGATTAGGGGGTCTGGAGTTTTCTGAGAGGATCCACAACTTCTTCCAGTTGGAGAAAGGCATGGTGTAGGCAACAAACTCATTTGAAAGTCATTTCTATCTGTTTGCTTCGCCGAGGAATCCTGGCTTTCTGTGGCTCCTGCTTCTGTGTAGGTGCTCTTTATATATTCCTTACTTGTCCACCTTGCAGCTTTCCCCAGCAGGCTCTCTAAAGTTAACTGAGTTAATCCTGAAGGACCAGTTGTTGGGCCTGGAGAACCCTGGATACTGTGGTTACCCTACATTGGGGAACAAAATGAAAATTATTTTGAGCAGAAATTTGTGGTGAGTACAAGTTCTTCATAAATTCATATTTTCTATGAATAAAGCAAAAGCACATATATGTAGATTTTACTTTAATCTGTAAAGAAAAATATGAGTAACTAAAACTAGCAATGCAAATAGGTATAAACCATTTGCTAAAATGTCCTGTGATATAGTACTTGGTCTGGGTAAGGCATACTTTTTACTTATGAATAACAAGAGAACATTTAAGAAGTAGTTACTAATATTCATTCCAAAGAATGTCTAAAAGAAGAGAATCCATAGCAAGTCATCTAAAACATCTAAGAATCATATACTTTGACTTTCTGATAAGTTAACTCCATGGAAAAAGAAATAACTAGAACTGATGGTATTTAGCCTACTTAAGCAGAGAAATGGTACTCTATTAATACATGCAAGTGGGTCTAGGGAAGCATTTTTACCTTACTGTAGGGCAGTTTTGTTTTTCAAGAGCAATAGATAATAGAACACGTTTTATAAAGTATTTTTCCTATACGAAAATTTTAGTCTTTTCTAGAAAGTGTATTATTGCCACAAAATGTAAACCTCATTAAGCATAAATACTTGGAAAGCTGAAAATAAAAGCTACAATAATTTTCCAAGTCCACAGTTCTGTGATTATCCATAGAAATGCAAACGTTAAATTTTTTTTTTTTTTTTTTGAGACAGAGTCTCGCTCTGTCACCCAGGCTGGAGTGCAGTGTCACAATCTCTGCTAACTGCAACCTCAGCCTCCCAGGTTCAAGCAATTCTCTGCCTCAGCATCCCAAGTAGCTGGGATTACAGGCATGCATCACCACACCCAGTTAATTTTTGCATTTTAGTAGAGACGGGGTTTCACCACCTCAGCCAGGCTGGTCTTGAATGTGACCTCATGATCCACCCACCTCAGCCTCCCAAGATGCTGGGATGACAGGCATGAGCCACCATGCCCAGTCAAAAGTTTAAATTTTTAAATCCAATAAAGGAAGACTTACAAACATGAAATCAAAGGCAATGAAAGTAGATAACGAAAATGAGAAACATAGTGCTATTTCAATAGGTAGATTTTTCTGTTATAAAATAATACATTTAAACTGCGTGATCACTGCATGTACCTGTCATGGTAGATTCTTCCAATTTGACTTATCTATTTAAATATATATAATAAACAAATGTAAAATGATAAACTTAGAATAGAGAAAAAACTAAAAGCAGAGTACATTTTGAAGACATTATTTGGTGTCTGACAATGCGTATCTTAACATTCAGTTTCAGTAAGCTATTCCTTCGCCCTTCAGAACCCAGCATCTAGTTATTTATAAAGGTTGGAATTTTAAAAACAAATATTTGGGTGACTGATTGGACTGTTCAGTTTCTTCCTGAATGTTTTACCATCATATACACTCAACATAATGATTGCAATCTAAATAAAATCTTCCTTTCAGAAGTGAAGCAAGGGCAAAGGTGAGAGAGTCTGCTCCAGGTTGGGCATGGTACAAGGGAGAGATCTACAAAAGCTTTTAATTAGAAGGGATCTATCTTATCTATCATTGTTCTGTCTTCCTTTCTTCCTTATCATGGGCCAAGTACATCTAGGCCCTGCAGACGCCAGGACTGCAATGTTAGACAAGAACATAATCCCTGGCATTCAGGGACTATATTCTGAAGGCAAAACAGAGGTCATTGTGTGAAGCAGGGGAATGTCACAATGACACAAAACAGAAGGCAGGGGTACATGTTTTTGGATACATGTTTGTGGAGTGTCTGGGTTGGTTTGTAGAGACAGTAGGACTGGAGGCCATCAGTAAGACTACTGTATTGTTGTTAGTAGGATGGTTGAAATGCCTGAATTAAGGCAATGGCAGTGATGATAGAGAAGCTGGACTGGTTTGAGAGTTCAAGACAATATGTCAAAGGCAGAGTATGTCATACTGAGTAATTCTTGCAGTCTCTTACATAAAGTATGAGACCTCTAACCCCTACCCTGTTATAATTTTTTCTTCTTGTGAAATGTAGTTGAGATGGGCAGACAGCTGTGCTCTCAAGCAAGGTCCAAGGGGACTTCAAAAAGCTCACAGAAAAATAAAATTAAGGGAGAAAATAAAAATATGAACTTTATTTCTTAACATAAGCTGCATCAAGGTCAAGACACTTTGTAAGCCATGATGCCAGCCATTTAGTCCATCCTGAAGAAACTGAGGGTCCTGGGAATATAACCACATCAATGTAGTCTTTTTTTTTTTTTTTTTACATTATTAACTGAAAAAACAAAACAAAACAAAATGGGTGCTCTTATTATAAAATAAAATGAAGTCATCAGAAGGAGCCAAATCAGGATTATAAGGTAGATACTAATTATTTCCCAACAAAACTCTTGCAAAATTGAACTTTTTTGACAAGAGGAGTGAGCAGGAGCATTGTCGTTGTGGAGAAAGACTGTGGGGAAGCTTTTGTGCGTGTTTTTCAGCTAAAGTTTTCGCTAACCTTCTGAAAACACTCTTATAATAAGCACATGTTCCTGTTCTTTCATCCTTCAGAAGGTCAACAAGTGAAATGCCTTGAGCATCCCCAAAACATTGCCATGACCTTTGTTCTTGACTGGTCCAGTTGTGCTTTGACTGGGCCACTCACACCTCTTGGTAGCCATTGCTCTGACTGTGCTTTGCCTTCAGGATCATAGTGGTAAAGCCTGGTTTCTTTTCCTGTTACAATTCTTCAAGGAAATGCTTTAGGATCTTGATCCCACCTGTTTAAAACTTCCATTGAAAGCTCTGCTCTTGTCTGCAGGTGATCTGGGCACAATGGTTTTGGCACCCATTGAGTGGGTTGCTTAACTTTAATTTTTCAGTCAGAGTTATGTAAGCTGAATCAGTTGAGATGTCAGTGGCATTGACTATTGTTTCTGCTGTTAGTCTTTGGTCCCTTTCAATTAGGGCATGTCTAAAATTATTTTTTTCCTCACAAATTTATGTGGATGACCTGCCATTGAGGGCTTCATATTCAACATTGTTTCACCCCTTCTTAAAGTAAGTTTGTAAACTGCTGATTTATTTGGAGGCATTGTCCCTGTAAGCTTTTTGTAAAGTAACAATGATTTTACCATGTTTCCATCCAAGCTTCACCATAAATTTGATGTTGGTTCTTGCTTCAATTTTAGCAGAATTCATATTGCTCTGATAGAGGCTATTTTTTCAAATTAATGTCTTATCCTTCCTTAGTGCTTCAAACTAGATTCTGTTCAAACATGTCATAGTTAGTACAAGTTTATTTTGGTACGATTTTTTTTTTTTTTTGAAATCCATGTATAGTTTTTTCACAGTAGGCTTTTTCCATGAACTTTTTGAAGTCCCCTTGTACACTTGGGTCTTAAAATCTCTTCTAAGAGGTTTCACATTCCCACTGTTGGTGGAGAACGCAATGTTCCTTAAAGAGAACTTTTAGATTCCTGAAAGTAGAACTACCATTTGGTCCAGCAATCTGACTACTGAGTATCTACCAGAAGGAAAAATAAGTACTTATATGAAAAAGATACTTGCACGTGCATGTTTATAGCATCACAAGTCACATCTGCAAAAATGTGTAACCAGCCCAAAAGCTCATCAATAAACAAGTGGATAAAGAAAATGTGATACACACACACACACACACACACACACACACACACACACACACACATCACAGATACCATGGGATACTACTCAGCCATAAAAAGGAACAACATAATGGCATTTGCAGAAACTTGCATGGAATTGGAGACCATTATTCTAAGTGAAGTAACTCAGGAATGAAAAACCAAACATTGTATGTTCTCATTCATAAGTAAGAGCTAAGCTATGAGGACTCAAAGCCATAAGAATAATACAATGGACTCTGAGGACTCAGGGGAAGGGTGGGAAGAGCGTGAGGGATAAAAGACTACATGTTGGGTACAATGTACACTATTCGGGTGATAGGTGCACTAAAATCTTAGAAGTCACCAATAAATAACTTATTCATGTAATCAAATACTACCTGTTCCCCCAAAACCTATTGAAATAAAGAAAAAAAAGAACGACTATAGAAAAAAAAACCTTCAAAATAAAGTAGGTATTTTCCTGTTAAAAAATATAATACTGAAATATCTAAAGAAGAAAATTAATCAATAATACTAAAAAAAAACCTCCTAAGAAATGGTTTACCTACAGTACACTAAGGACGAGAACCGCATTGTTAAGGATCTTTTATAAACATTTCTTCTTGGTACTCATCCTGGGCATACATTTTCTTTGTCTATGCTAGCTTCATCTTCACACACATATACAAACACACACACACACACACACACACACACACACACACACACACAGTCTACACTAGCTTCATCTTCACACACACACACACACACACACACACACACACACACACGCACATACATTTATAACTGATGGAGAAACTTATCTTTCAGAGTTCCAGAGAGGGTATAAGAAAAGATGGTGATTGGTTGCCAATCTTGGGCCTTTACTTTGTGGCCCAAGTGAAAAAATAAGACTGGCGAGAATATTTCTGCACTTGTAACTGTCCCTGCATGGCCTCAGCTGCAGACACTTGGTCAACCCTTTCTGCTATAAGCCACGTACAGAGTGAGCCTGTCCTTCCCTACCAGTCTGGGCACCCTAGGATGTTCATATGGTTGAAGAACTCTGCCTTCAGGCAGAAAACTTGAAACACTGTCAGAGCTACCTGAAAAAATGGCCAGTGATCTAATCACTAGGTAATAGAGTGGTGACTCTTGCAATTTTTTTTCATAAAGAATAAAAGTTTAGTCTTGTCTGGAGAAGAAGGTAAACAAAAACTATGGTAAACATTCCCCAAGTCCTAGTTCTAAGATGGTATTGGTGGAACTAGCATAGATTTTTTTTTTTTTAATTTGGTCTGGAAGTGAGACAAGGCTAACTATTCTCTAATTAAAAAAAATTGCAGTTTAATTTCTTGT